TTTGTAGTAGTCGGGTGGGAACTTTGGACCTAGGTTTCTTGTTAATTGGAACTTGTCATTGAGGAATATTGCAATTTTTAGTGGACTGATGCTCATTGTGGCGTTTGAACTCGTTTCACCTACCTTCACAATCGGAGACGTTATCATCGAACCATTTTGGCCAACACTGACCTATCGTAGAATTGAGATTCTTACATTGGCTATTGATCAACATCATATTTGTCCTACTCCGTATTTGCCATTGTATTCTGTTCAAGTTCTATTTTATATCCACGTTCCATCAATATACTTCTCTTGATTCGATTATGACTATTTTTTTTAATCACTTCTATTATGTAGAAACGTTTAGAAGAGGAAGCAATTAAATATAGACAGTTAAAAGCTGAGAGAAAACATCATCAACAACAACGCAAAGAGCAATCTTCGAATGATTCAACGGGAATTGAATAAACGCTAAATAAAATTATATCTCTAACTGTTTTGTTTCAGTTTTTGTTGCGTCTTGTACAATCTACGCAATACACGTTAGTGTACTAATATATTAGATTGTATTCATTGTATCCATCTGTGTATGTGTAAAAAATTTTACTTTTTACAGATGGACAAATTATTTTGTTTGTTTAAACATCATTTCTTAGTTTCTATACAATTTCGGGATATACATCAATATAAACATATTGTGGTCATTTAGTACCATTCAAACTAACGAACACAATGTTTGTCTGTATAAAAAAATGTTCTTTTTTTAAAATCCTCAATCTTCATAATGCGGTGAACCACCGTTTTGTACAGTTTTGTAATGAAAAATTTATCGGTAAGAAAAGCTTTCTGTTAGTTGTTTATTATCCAATCGTTTTATAGTTTTAATCAATTATCCAAAAGCTATCTCACTAATGTTAATGATCAAACATTTCAGGTTCAAATGTTAGTGATCTTATTCTCTGTTGACTATCAATTCTTAAGAAAAGGTAGGATTATTCAAATATTAAGCATCGCAGATTTATTTTTATTCATTCTTTGTGATATTCTATTAATAAAAGCTGCATTTCGACACTATATGTTAAAAACAACATTACCATTCTTGATAGAACGGTATTACGAATAAAAGGAAGCATAATTTTGAATAATGCAAACAGTTAAACCTTGTACTCATCAACATAGTGATTTTCGTCCATGAAGACCTAGATGACTTACCTCCGGCTTTTTTTAGAGATGGTGGTGACTTTCTTGTTAAGAAACTGACAGTTGTTTACAAAGGTTTGGGAGCTAGAGGGTGTTCCAACATCATGGAATGAATCTATAGTTGTCCCCATCTTTAAAAAGGGTTCACGTCGTCCCTGTAACAACTATCAGGGGATAAGTCTACTTCCGATTGCGTCCAAGCTATTGGCTTCCGTTATACATCGTAGGTTGTTCAAAACCCGAGAAAAATTGACTCGCGAGGAGCAGACTGGTTTTCGTTCCGGTCGAGGACGTATTGACCATATCCTCACCCTCCGCCAAATGTTAGAACACCGTCATACTTACCAAAGGCCAACAATCGTAGCGTTTCTTGACATCAGGGCTGCCTTCGATTCTTTGGATAGGACTGTTCTCTGGGATTGTCTATTGAAGAAGGGTGTGCCTGAGAAGTTCATTAACATCTTAAAGACCCTATATACAAACACCCCAGGCAGAGTAATGACATACAACCACCTCTCTCTGTTGTTCCGTTCAAACAGTGGGATTAGACAGGGTTGCCCAATCTTACCATTCCTCTTCAACTTTGCCATCGATGACATTCTGGAAACAGCTCTGATAGATGTAAGTAATGGTGGTGTGGACCTGTTGCCCGGAGAAAGACTTCTCGACCTTGAGTATGCGGATGATATTGTCTTACTGTGCGATAATACCCAAGCTATTCAATCCGCACTTAATCAGTTGGCAATCAATGTCTGTAGGTATGGTATGTGCTTCGAAGTGCAAAGTACTTCTACAAGACTGGCAGGATCTTAATCCTGTACTCACCCTGGATGGTGAGCAGATAGAAGTAGTCGAGAAGTTCGTGTATCTAGGTAGCTGCATAAGTGCTGGTGGTGGCGTGATTGATGAGATCAATGCACGTATAGTGAAAGCCAGAGTGGCTTATGCCAATCTCGGCCATCTTTGGTGCCTTCGTGATTTTAGTCTGGTTGTAAAAGGTCGGATCTACAACGCGTCAGTGAGAGCAGTTTTGCTCTATACTTGTGAAACCTGGCCTCTCCGAGTTGAGGATGTTAGACGACTCTCTGTGTTCGCTCATCGCTGCCTCTGAAGGATTGCTGACATCCAGTTGCAATACCATGTTAGTAATGCAGAGGTTTAGCATCGTATGTTCGGGCACAGAGATGATAATGCAATCGGTGTCACCATCTTGAAACACCGACTTTGGTGGTTTGGACATGTTCTACGAATGTCGTCCTAGAGAGTTCCACGTCGTGCGTTATTTGCCGACGCTGGGACTGATAAGAAGAAGCGGAGAGGTGTTCAGTGTATGACATAGTGTCGTGGTGTGAAAGCCGCGAAGGGCTGGCTTCTGTTGGTCCTTCACGACTCCCTGGCTGGAGTCCGAGAGATGGTGCGATACAATGGCTAGGGACGTTATCAGATATGGCTCATAATAGAAGCAAGTGGTGATCCTGTTGTAGCCTTCTTTTACTTTCTTAAAAAGTGGTTGTTTCTTCCTTAACTGAAAGAATTCTTACTGGTTCTACCTTTCCGTTTCCCCCACTATTATTATTACACTACCATACACTAATCTGTGGTCGTTATTGTTCTCTCTCTTGTTTTTTATTCTACGCACCTTACATTCTTTTTCTCTTCCCATTCTCAATGTTTTGTGTGGCGAACATATATTTGGTGCCCACTTGTACCAATATTTATGTGTTCAAATAAATCAATAAAATAAATAGTCATTGATTATGTTAAGTGGTTCAAATGAACAGTGTGTAAAATGTGCATTCGTTTTTATTAAGAGTCAACAGATTCCAAATTTAAGCCATCATTTATCAAGAATTTATCGACAGCACTTCATGTTTTGTTTCTTATTTACTGTATGATTCCAGCCTCTTGATGAGTGAATCCGTATATGAATTTATACATTTTTTATTTAGGGTTTTTGTAGGTATTTCAGAGCAATATAATTAACTAAATAATTGTGACTAAATACTAATTTATTTGTTTGCATTTCTCTTAAAGATGTAATGGTATGAAGTTAATTGTTATCTATCAAACATACGTTGAACAGTAATTGAAAATCACCTTCGCACTTTGTGATAATTATGTAATATCTCTATATTTATAACATCGTTGAAATCACTTTGCTAACCAAAAGAATAAAATTTTATAAGAAAGGTTAGTGTATGTCTTGAACAGAGAGCACCTAGAATATGTGATTAAGTCCTTTTAACTTTGTTATGTAAGTTAGGGACTAATTAAACAATCACTAAAGACTGATATAACGAACTGTTTAAAATATTTTTTCTCGCACGAGTATACTACGATAATAAGATCAGTTGCGTTATATCCGATCTAGGATTCACGATCCAAAATAATGAATCATATTAACTCTAGATAATGCTTTATTCAACACGATTACATTTGGTTAGTCCGACGTGGAAATCAATGAGGAAAAGAAATCGTTTAATAGTCAGTAGATTAAGTGCCCATTTGTCCACACTCAGTGATTAATCATTTTTTACTCTCACTACCACACGTCAAAAACCAAGACACACTAGATCAATGTTTCGACCCAGTATGGGACTTGTAATCAGTGTTGACCAACTGCTCAGCCAGATATTGAGTCCATGACCTTCAGGTCTCATGGCTAGTGGCTAAACATCAGATGTCGACTTTCAGGTCTAAGGGTTGTGCGAACTTTGCAATTGGATAATCTTTGAGGAGTCCTGTCAGTAGCATTTTAGTTTGTTTACATTTTCATCCTATCTACCATTTACTAAGAAGGTGAAAAAAATACTATAAAATGATAGTGTAACACAGTAAAGTATATCTTGTTCTACACAAAATGACTACTTTTGATTTGTTGTAAAATTATTTTCATATCTCAGAGTAATACGTTAGGGAATAAGATGTTAGTGTTAGAAGCTATAGATACTCAGTTTAAGTCTCAGTTTGAACCTCGATAGTGAAATACTAGTACGTCCAACTAACAAGCCATACGTAGTGGGAAATATGTGCTCGTAATTTCACTACTAGTCACAATTCAAATATACGAATAACTAGATATAACTGATTGAGAAGAAAAATTGAAAACTAAACAAAACCCTCAGTTGATGCTATTATTGATTTTCGTCGCTGTAAACATCTTACACAGTTATTTTTGAAAATCTCTGCGTATTATTGAAAAAATAATTACAAATTGAGTTAAAGTTTTATGCTGTGTAGTACTTAACTATTGAGCATCCACTTATACTTGTATTAGAACAATGTAAGAGTTATATTAGACATTACATTTGTTTGTAGTTGCATCGTTTATATTAGGTTAGACTGCCTGTCAATAATGTTCAAGTCGAAGATAATTTACGCAACACTTATTCCAACTCATAAACTAGAGAGTATATGTTTTACCCTAGTCCTAATTTTTTTCAGTAGTATCCATGTAGTCTCATCAAGTGAAAAGGCAAGGATCTGTATGTCACATCGTTTCATAATATTGTGGTACCACTGTTCAGTGTCATCGACGACATCTGTCCTAACGGGTCGAACCTCATTTACCATATCTTTTTACTAAAAACCCACCTTCAGATTGTTGATTCAAATTTATTGTGCTATCTTTCTACACGACGTAAATCGGATACAAATGTGCATAGATGAATTCTCTATTTACCTGTTTTCATTTAGGTAATTAAATTATAGATGATTGTCAAACAACAAACAAGACATTCTTGTAATTCAGAAATATGGGCTTTTATTCACAATATTTGAGCATTAGTATCAAAGTAGTTTTTATTGAAATATATGTACTAGTGTTAATGAAAATAGTGACTTGTAACAAAGATTTCAATTACTATTTTTGTTTAGTTTTTATCAACTAATCAAGACTTGATTAAAGAAGGCAATGAGATTTGACCAGGATTTCTTTCTCAACTGATCCGACCATCTTTTACTGTTTTGTGAATTCCTTAGTTCTTCATGTTTAAAAAATCTAATCGATGAGATCTGTTGAGAATATAGAAAGAAAAACGAAAGTACTGAGATAAATGAAAGAGAAATAAAATTACGAATATTCAGTTCGAAAGTTATGTGCACGTCGCTGATTTACTTTATCATTTAAATGGATCATATCATCGAAGATTAACAGATTTACAATCAATGAGGATGTTTATAAAACTGAATATTACACACCAATTTCTTAATTCAATTCTGTTATTAATTATTGAAATACAGAATGTTTATAAGAGATAATTCAATCAAATAGTCTTCCAGTATCACTGAGATTTAAATTTATCAACTTGTAAATGTTTTCTTGTTAACAAGTATTCTTGATCGGGTTGAAAGTTCTCAGATCTAATGTTATTACTTGTGGCCTGTGTGCCCTGCTAATGTATAACGTAACGATAGTGCCGATTAGAGAGTAGTGACTTATCGATCAAACCAGTGACGCATAAACTCATACGAGCAGTCTACAGTCCTGATTGGTCCTGCTTTCCGCCTAGCCCAGCCAGTTAAGTCCAGAATACCAATCTCAGCCTCTACGATATGAATCATTTATTTCAAGCATACGGGGTTTATATACCAATCAAACAAACCACACCGTTCTATAAAATATGAAACAACATTTGTACAAGAGTTAACTAAATGTGGCTGTGAATGAGGGAGGTAGTAATTAATAGACAGGGTATAATTCAAGAATGATAAATCGTATATAGTAATAGTTCATAGGTCAAAATAATGATCATAATAAGAGGGACATGAATATAAATAGTTTACTTAATTAACAATTATACGATAAAAATATACGTATCATATTGGTTCATAAATGGATCTCAAAAGTTACCATTCATTATGCTTATCGGGACCTAACATTTAAGCATAGTCTGATTGTCATATATAATTGCAGAAATATTTGACGAACTGTGTAATATATTTTATGACATTTTCATATAACTAAACATGATCATTTGAAATTAATCAAATATAAGTGAAATGATATTGATATAAGAAATAAAAAACTATGGATTTCAAGTAAAACAGAAAGATAAGAGTTTCTTGTATGTGTTCATCTCTTTTAAGAAAAAAAAACTGCAATTAATCAAACTAAAAACAAACCAACTTGTCTGTTCTGTACACAAAGAATATATTAATTTATATCCTACGGTTTTTTTTAATCAACTCTCTGGTAAACTTTTAAACTAAAAATAACTATCAAATATAATGAAAAGTTGAGAAAATTTTTCAGTTTACATCATTGACTGACTCTAACTTGATGGTTGGGATGAGGGAGTAAATTTCGACTTTGTATGAAACTCCTCAGTAGTGGGCAGTGAGAATCCTCACAACGACTGAATCTAGTACGTTTAGGCTTTTTAGGAAACTCGTCAGTTTTAGATTTCCAGTTTTGAGGATCGTTGCACAATCACCACTAGTTACCTGTCCTATGCTGGACATAATTGAGGTTTATCGACAATGACTCATCATCGGAACTCCAAGAATTCTTTTAGAAATCAGTCCGTAGGCAGCACATGGTTGCTAATAATATAAGAAACTTGTGCAGATCCGTTAAAATCGACGCTAAGAGTGTTATCACAGTGATGATTATTGAAAATGAGAGGGTATTGGAAAGTTGTTTTGTTTTACTTTGAAACCTCTCAACATCACTGATATTTCATTAAGTCTCCTTTTACCGCTAGGGATTTTATCACAAGCAGGAGTTTAGAAATGATTGGTTCAAATTATAAATTCATGAGTTGAATCTAGTTTTATGTTTATGGCTTCATTTCAAGTTGGTGTTTGATGTAACACATGTTTCTGAATTTCTGAAAAAAATAAGTAAACTTTTAGTTTATTATGGTTTGAATTATCTCGTTCATATTCATAATTAGTTGGCATAGAATCGCCCTGCATGGACTGGGCAGATATAGCGATTATGTCACGAATTTAATAGAATTGACAAATGATCGCTATTTGAGATCGATCATAATTTTCTCAAGAATATCAATACTTACTTACTTATTTACTTACGCCTGTTACTCCTCGTAAAGGAGCATAGGCCGCTCACCAGGATTCTACATCTTCCAGAGTTTCTCCATCAAGCGACTGAGTTGACGTTCTCTATGCCGTTTCACGAACTTTCTACTTCCCTTGTGCATGCTGAAGCCTACGGATGTAGAGGCTGCTACTACATAAACTTTCTTTACCTGCATGTGTTGCTGTATATGGAATAGAACAGCTAGGTCATCTACAAAGTCCAAGTCACCTAGTTGCAACCAAGCTGTTCATTGTATTACGTGCTTCATGTGTATGCGATAGGACGGCTAGGTCACCCGAGAAGTCCAAATCGTCTAATTGGTTCTGAGCTGTCCATTGTATTCCGTGTTTTCCTTCAGATGTCGAGGTCCTCATAATCCAGTCGACCACCAGAAGAAAAAGGAAGGGAGAGAGTAGGCAGCCTTGTCTTACTCCGGTCCTTACTTGGAATGCAGCTGTCTTCCATGCACGACTTTGCATTGTAGTCCGTCGTATGAGTTCCGGATAATATTGATAATCTTCTTAGGAACTCCATAGTGTCGAAGAAGTTTCCATAATGTCCTCCTATCCACACTGTCGAATGTCTTTTCATAATCAATGAAGTTGACGTATAGTGACGAGTTCCACTCAACTGATTGTTCGACGATGATCTGTGGTGTTGCAATTTGGTCTGTGCACGATCGATCCTTACGGAATCCAGCTTGTTGATCTCGAAGTTGGGCGTCTACTGAGTCTTTCATCCGGTTCAGCAACACTCTGTTGAAAGGTTTTCCTGGTATTGAATTCATTGAGTTTGTCAATATCTCGAAGGACGGCTGTATTGAAGCTTTGTAGTGCTGTTTGTCCACTTGTCCAGTTTTTTTAGCTTCAGTTTTAAATTGGCCACAACTTGGTGGTGATCTGAAGCTACGTCAGCACCTCTCCTGGTTCTCACATCTTCCATTGTCCTTCGGAATTTTTTGTTGATGCAAATATGATCTATTTGGTTCTCTGTAGTGTGGTCCGGTGAGATCCATGTAGCCTTGTGTATACGCTTGTGTGGAAATATTGTGCCTCCTATGACCAATTTCTTGAATGCGCATAGATTTGCAAATCTTTCTCCATTTTCGTTTCTTTCTCCCAGCCCATGTCGTCCCATAATATCTTCATATCCTGTGTTGTCTATTCCAACTTTGGCATTTAGATCTCCCATTAGAATGGTGAGGTCCTTTCTTGGGCATTTCTCTATGATTGACTGCAGTCGCTAATATCAATATGTACAACAAATTAAAACGAATTCATACTCCTTTCACAAGCTAGTGGCCATCAAGATTAAGCAGCTCAACAAATAACTCACTGAGTATTTGCGGAGAACATTTCAAGTTCAGGAGTGAACATCAACACTGGGTTATGGGTACATTCATATGACGAGCTCCAATTCTGACGGGATGTGCGTCTTTTATTTCATTTCTAACCAAAGCCTATCTATTAAATAAACATATTATTTACGTCCGTTAGTATTCAATAGAATATGAGAATAAGGCATTTATAAACGTTATGTTTTGTGAGATACACAGTATCTGTTCATTCAGTTCAATATAAAGTATCATACAAATTATTCTTAAACTCAAATTAAATATATGAATAACTCACTAGTTTACATATACTACATACATTTACTAGTAAATTTACAAATCACAAAATTTAGGCAACCATATCTCTTCATAATCTGATAATTTTTTGATTGATTTAATTTCGTCTCTTTTTGGACCATCTTCTTTATCATTAATAGTTTGTTGACTATCAGCATCATATTTATTAACATCAGATAACTTGTCATCAGTATAGATTTGGTGTATACTTGATAAATTATCATTTGTTGTTTTTGTTTTAAATGAAGTGAAACAATCTTTCTTTTTTATCCTTCGACAACTATTATTATTATTATTATTATTATTATTATTATTATTATTATTATTATTATTATCGTGATTGCTACATTGACCAATATCAAAATTATTTCTACATATATTCTTAGTAACATTCATGGTTATTGTAGTTGACAATGGTGTTACAGGACAAGTACTAAGCTGTTTAGCTAGACAACTGTCCAAATGTAGACACTTTTCATAACAGTTGAAATCAACATTTTCATTGGTATTGTCAGAACAATTTTCCTTAACATTATTAGTACTGTTATTATTATCATCTTCTTCATAACTATTTTTTTTACTACTAATAGTACTACTATCAGTGGATTGATGATGTGATATCAAATGCTCAAGTAATCTTCTCCATAGATTCGGTCGATGATTAATTGAATTTGTCGCTTTGACTAGTTGTTCTGTTTCACTGAACTGTTTCTCTTCAGTTTGATTATTAATCGTTTGTTGTTGTCGACTCAATTGATACTGATGTTCATCTATTTTATTTGTTAACTTCTCATCATTTATGGATTTAGTATTATTGACTTTTTTATTTACAAATATTTGTTTATCACTACTGTTATTATTATCAGTAGTATTGACAAATTTCATATTATTCGGTAATAATGAATTGATAAATCGATAAATTGATCTATCCTTTTCAATTACTTCTTTATTTATTGATAAGTTATGATTTTTATTTTTACTTGATTTATTATTCACATCATTAACTAATCCCATTGGTAAATAATGTTCAGAATTATTATTATTCACATAGAGTACAACATATTGTCTGGAATCAGAATAATAACGTTGAAGTAAACGTAATCGACGTTGTGTTAATTCTAATAAACGAGTATGTCCTATATCATTTTGTTGATTATTATTATTGTAATGATTTGGCATTGGTGCATATGCATACCATGATTCTACATGACCTTTATTAACTAAAAATACTGCAAGTAAATGATATTGTGATGTATAAGTATATACATTTGATTTGATTTTTTGATTAGATTTTGATAAATGCTTTGATACACGTTGATCAAATTTCTCTTTTATTCGAAATGCTATATCATTTGATAAACTTCTTGATTCTTTTGATCCATTCGAATAATACATCTCATTACTATTATTATTATTATTATTATTATTATTATTATTATTATTATTATTATTATTATTATTATTATTATTATTATTGTAAAACGTTGTATCAGAAGAAGTAGTAATATTGACAGTAGTGTTATTATTATTGTTTAAAATATTTTTAGTATGCAAATGAGGTGAATAGAGTCGATCAAGGGATGTTGGAGCAGTTTGAATTTCTGGAATTGATTTCTCTCGTATATTATCAACACATTCACGTCCTGTAATAGTTGTATTCGGTCCTGGACTACTGTTACAAACAAATAATGAGTCACGTTTTAGAATTGGATACTGATTATTAGTCACTGGTAATGAACCATTCAATGAACGAAAATCTGGTTGTTGTTTTGGGGGTAAATATGCCAGTGGTGATAACTGTGGTACGGATTGTGGTTGATTTACAAGAGTTTTGCGAATTTTAGTTTTCAATGAGGCACCAGACCAATGAGTTCCTGCCATTGTATTATCTGGACCATAAGCCGTAGCTGTATGACTACGACCAACCCATTTTTTGGTGTAACCTCCAGAGGACTCAATGTACATTTGGGTTCGATGCTAAAAAAGAATGATGAATAGTTTACAGTAGTAAAATAATCAAATAATCTGGTGGAGTAAAAGCAGTGATAAGAACTATGATATGTAAGTTAACATGATCAATGAATAATATTATTACTTGCGTACTTTGCACTAAGAACTGAATTTAGCTAGACAATCTGTGAAAAACATGAGGTAGTAAGTACCAATCTTGTCCTATTATAAAACTCTTCAATATTATTCACTCAATAACCTGCATATTATCCCCAACAACTTTAGTTATTTAGGTCAGCACATAAGTTTTAGATGGCTGAGTTGACGCCTAATAATTCACATTATTCAACTTCAGTCGATTGCTACTATTGCACAACCTTTATCTGTTGCAGCTAGAAATGGTTATCACATGCCCGACATATCTAAACACACTGACTACACACTGTCATTGGAACTTTGAGAATACTCATCAACGTAGGTCGTTAGTGATTACAAAGCTATTATTGATGCAGGAAATCTATGTATAATGTCTGCTTTGTAGTGTAAATCAATGAGTGACTTTAGCTACACTGCAATGGAAAACCAAGGAGGACCTGATATATTTTCCCATTTCACATGCAATCTTCTAATTTATGATTACTGGGTTCTTCGCATGATTCATTTGATTCATGACACTCAGTTTGATCTGTTTATCAGTTATGTTAATGATCATGGAATGAAGTAATTCGAAATGAGACTTAAGGCAAAAGTAAGAATAATGTGTTAATCTCTCATCTATTCCGTAAATATTCAAAGGTATCTCATTTTCTACTTTAAAAAAAATCGAAACAAAATAACAATACTGTATCATGACAGAATTGGTGTTAGATAAACTTTTAGGCTGATTATTCCAAAAAATATATTGTGTAACTGTTATTCAACATTTACTTGAACGAAATATTTTCAGGAAATTAGGGAAGAAATAATATGAAACCATTTTGCGTACTTATGAGTAGTTCATTTGTTACTTTGTCATATTTTAACATTTTGAGAATTATGCCCTAATACCACATGAATGTCAGTAGCCTAAAATTCGATATAGTTCATAATTAACGAATATTGCAAAACAAAATATTCATTGAAAGATGTATGCCTACCTCTCTTCGTCATTTTTCTAGGTGGACCTATTCTATTAATCCTAACATCTAATTAGTTTGTCAGATTTCGGCTAATATGACTGATACATATGCAAAATCTTGTTTAAAGCCTATTAATTGTGAAAAACCGCATCATTTAGTAAAGTTATTAAATGTTAATCTGAGTCAAGGTATGAAAGCCTGCTGGCTGTGATCCATCGTAATACAACCATGAGTGACGGTTGAATAAGACATCGTAGGACCAGCTGTAGTAGTGCAAATATGTAGAATATTTATTTTAGTTTTGACATTAATTTAATACTTTAAATCCTTGAATCTTTTTCGTTTTCTGCGGTTCTGTGTTTAGTTCGTTTTACCAATTACGGATACTAAACATCTTGGGAAATTTTTGTTATGCATCTTGTTAGTAACATCTTGCTTCAATGATATAGTAGTAAATCTGGACCGATACAAATTACTTGATCAGTTTGTTTAAACACCACTATGTGTAGCGGTTGGATATAATCTTCAGAAATTTACGCCGTCTACCTATATGTTAGTTGATCACGACTGATGAAAGTATCCTAATCAGTTAAAGAATTGTTTTACACACAGATAGTTTTCGATATGGGTGCGTCATGAATAGAGAAATGTTGCATACGTAATCAGAGCTCGAACTATCCACAGAAATGATTCCACATTCCATGGATTGATGACTAATTTATTTGGTTGTTACCATCAAAGTTGCGGCAGTTAAGATACAGTGCCTAGGTGTTGCTACTCGACCATAGACCTTGAGTCTATGAATTGCTGCAAAACACAGCATCTTTAAATTATCGGGATATGAAATTTTATTCATTAGGAAAATGTTTTCCTCAAATTAATAAATTCACCATTAATCATAGTAATGAATTAAAGGAGCCATTGTACAAAAAGATACTACTTGTCACGTCTTAGGTAGATGTGAAAATATTTCGGCACACTCTTTCTAATGAATTTCAATTAGTCACAATGATCACAATAAGACTTTTCAGTAAAAACTTAATGTCTCTATTCTTCAGATTGGACACGCATTTAGTTTCAGAAGTACATAAGGAAATATAAATTTACCCTTACTGACCACTGAACAATGTCCTATTTTTCGCAAGGCTAGTAAATTGTTGCGAGACTATTCTTACTGTTTATAATAAGCGATTCAGTGCTTTAGACTTTTGGATTTTACATTTAAATGCTTGAAATCAACTAATATATGGAGATTTAAGTCTGAGCATTTCTCAATTGTAACATCCATTAGAAAAAAATTTATTAACAATGTGGTATATAAAAGATGAATTTGGATCATCTGTTATTTCAGTAGAAGGGGTTTCTTTATAACTGTGACATTTTGTAGGAGCGACAGCAGTCTTTCGTACCGTTATACAGTTTTCATCAGTCGTGTAAGAATAATTTTATATCGAGTTTATTAGAAATCAATAAGTCATTAAAAATCTAAGTAAAGCCTGGTGCAAAGAAGTGTTGGTCTAAGTTGTCACACCAGGCTGTCATGGTATATAAATTTATGCAAATGAACGTTAATACATGTAAATCTGGAGCCTAATAAAGTTCCTCCTTCACTTTTGTCTTCTTGCTCATTAACTAGTTGGGGGCTCGCACACAGGAAGTTTTCTGTTAGTACCAGTCTCGGCCGACCCTCTTATAATAGTGTTCAAGGTTTTGGCTTTCGCTCTAACTCATGAAGATCTTAAGTTCAATCTCTAGTGTAGTTGTGGGTGATCTCTGCTAATAAATCGCTAACTAGAACGAAATGGTTGACCAATGCTTGCTGGTTTCCAATAATTGACAGTTTATCATGTAAAAATACAATCTCTACAACCATCTCAACCAAAAAACTAAATTATATTTTCCAATAAATTAGTAATGGAATTCAAAGAATTTAGTCCGTTTTATTAATGCCTCTTTAACAGGATATATTTGATGAAGCATTGTATAGATTTGTTAAACTTGTAAACACAGGGAATAATGAGACATCTTTTCAAGGAATCTATTATTGATTTAAGAAATCTGATCAAATGTAGACTTAAATATCAACAACGCGGTAATGACAATAGAAAAACCAGAAAGCACTGGATAGATATTTCGTTCTAGCGTGAGGTTTCTGAAGACCATTCATCTAGGACCCCATCGTAGATCAAACTCAAGGACCTTCAGATCTCGTGGCAATAGAAAAATTTCAACAGTTTTCACATATCTATTTTGGCGAAAATCTACAAATTTGAAAATGCATATATATATATATATCCTTTCATCTTCCTATAAATGGATAGTTAAATTAAAAATTTTCAATGTACTATATGAAGACTATCTAGATTTTTCTAACTGGAATGAATCGATAGAGATGGTGAAGGTTTGTAGTTCAGATGAATGATTTTGATGGAGTTTTGTTCTCTGAGTTGGATGACTTGGTCATGGAGCTTGCGTCGTAATCTGAACAACATCATCAGCACCAAATTCAGGTGATGATATTGTCCATAATAATGATATAAGCTCCACGACCAAACCATCTAGCTCAAAAAATAAAACCCCATCAAAAAAATCGACAGAAATTGTGGCTGTTTACAATATATATAGCCGGATTTTCAGGGATTTTTAAATATTAGGAAATTAATCTTCAATGAGGATTAATATCATTTAAAGAACCATTAAACACTATAAGTCGTTACACATTTGATCTTAGCTAGTCAGAGAATGGGAAAAAACTTCGCACCCAAATATCGTGCCAGTTGGAGTTCATTAATTGGCACCCTGTAGGAGTGAGATATTTTCGATAGAATAATTAATAGATGAAGTATAATGTATTTATCTAGTCCTTATATTAGTGAATTCCTAGACAATAACAAGAGTTCCATTGAAAGTCTAAATTTCACACTAGGTATAACATTGTTGTGTCATTTTTTGATTATGAAATTCTCTTTTTGTTATTGTTGTTGTTTTGATTTAAAGAGATTGAAAACATTTCACACTCCATTTACATTTATATATATATATGTCTATCCTACATATATTTTAAGTATTCCATAGATTTCACATTACCGCCTGAATGTGTATTTATGTATTTAAACATAATACAACACATGTCATACTGATAATGCATGTAAGTAAAATCAACATGGAGTCTTTGTTCTAGGCATATACTGTCAATAACTTGATTTGTTTTTTTCATGAATCGCAATAACACTAAAAAAAATCATTCATTTAGTCTATTCTGTGCTATAAGAGTTGACAATAGACACCAGAAAAAATATAAAAATAACTTTTGTTATCGTAAATTTTGCTTATTATTATTATTATTATTATTATTATTATTATTATTATTATTATTATTATTATTATTATTATTATTATTATTATTATTATCGTTATCATCACATATACTATAACTTCTTGACTACTGATAATTCCTTCAACTGACTGACGTTCATGTGACATACACTTCATGATTTTAGACAGTCAAAACTGATCTACAGTTTTTCTTTTCATTTATTTATGAATAATCAAAGTTTATATGGTTAGGGTTCAATTGATATTTATTAGAGGTTATTATTGTTTAAGATGTAAAAGTATTTTTGAACATTAGATTTATTTAGTGGTTAAAAGTGATTCATAAGAAATCCCGAACTCAAATTTCTTGTCACTTAGTAACTGTTAGCAAAGTGAATTTATAATTTTGAGTGAACTGGTGCTCTCTCACTTACTGGATCGTTTGTCACTCAGCTTCACAGTTTAAGATGTTACCACTGAACTAATCGGGTCATAATTGACTTCTTTTACGATTGAGATATTTGCGATTGATTGATCGCAGAAGATAATTGAGTTGATGTTTACCTGATCTAAGCATATTGCATATAATTGTGA